TGTGCTCAGTATGTGTCCGTATGGCGGTGCTGACAATTCGGAACGTTGACGACATAGTTGATTACCCCGTATGAAAACTTTGACTAAGGTTAACGCGACCTCTGCGGTACGTTATTTTAACATTCTCTGCTAAAAATTTGTGTTATTTCATCAGAGATGCAAATAACTCTGCTTTCTCTTTTGGATGCTCTAGGTCTGTGATAGAATATGGGGCTCTTTGACTCGGTTAATAGGAGCAGTCAGTTGTTGGTTTATTTGATGGTGAACTACAGGTTGGGTTAAGGTCACATGAAGTGTGTCACTTCAGAATGAAAAGTGTGGCCGAAAAAGGAACTGGAAAAAATATAGACTATACATTTGCATCTTTCCATTGCAAATTTCTTCCAATAGCAGTCTTTTGCTCAGAAAAAACTGCAACCGGAAGCGCGACAGAAAGGTTTTCTAGAACTCACTGAAATACCTAAATTCATGTGTAATCGTATATTAAAAAATTATTCAAATCAATGAAAATACTTCATTTTAATATCAAATAATGCATTACTAAATACATTCTCTGTCGTCCAGAAGCCCATCTCATAGGATTCATATGGCAGGAAAGATGTATAATACTTGGTGTCCACTGCTCATCAAACTTTTTCGATGCTAATCGGAGTATTGTAGATATTGATCTAGTAGTTAATAGATAAAATTATGTTTATTTTTCTTGATACCATATTTAAGCAAACATTATTTTGGTATTTGCTCGCTCCAACACTCGGTATTGTTGTCTTCTTGCGTAATTTTTCGATTAAATTAGTGACATAATTGGGCACAATGCAAAATATCGCATCCAATAAGAAAATTTATTGTGCTTATTCAATAATAATAGACCTTAATTTGACTATCGGTACTTACCGATGGATTTCCTTCATCAGTACCTGCTTCTTCATATAAACATATACAAACACAATTTAACATTTTATAACATCTATAACATTTAAACTACTAATTTGTTTGAAAAACAATGTTCAAACCGATTAAGTTATCTTTTGTTTGATGCCTTGTTAGACACCATTGGACATTTAGTACTCGAACTATGGTGAAGCATGTGAAACTCCAGCCGCAAAAACAGAAAACCAACTCAAAGCTTAATTATCTCGAAACCTATCCACAAAAAAAAAATTTTTTAAGATTTTAATTAAATAGAAATATTAAATATTTCTTAATACATAATTTTCACACATAATTAATAAATAATTCAAATAATTACTTGTAGTTTAAATTTATCAAGAAATAACACACCAGACAATAAGTCGTGTGACTGACACACAGATGGCGCTGTCATTGTCAAATCTGTGGCAGCACAAAAAGCGTGCCAAGCGCCAAATGCGGTGAAAACTACAAAAGGTAGTTTTTTGGTAAAAAGTGTGTAGAGTTAATAATAAGAATTATAACAATAAAGAAGAGACAAGAGAGTCTAGCTAAAGTGTGCACAAGAATAACAACGTGTTTTTATTTAACTGATAGCGTATAGTAAATTAATGTGGTCTGTGCAACCACAACTGGTGACCCCTACTGAAAATAACACTGCAATATTAAACAACACCAAATAAAACAAAAAATCAAAATGAATAAAAAAAAGCAAGACAACAACAATACACAAACAAAAAATGCTGATGTTTGTGACGAAAAGCATGTAACATCAACGCTGGTGCATTCTATTCAAGATGCAAATTTACCTAAGTTTTGGAAGAATAAGCCTGATCTATGGTTTATACAAGTTGAATCACGATTCAGGTCCAAGGGGATAAAAAAGGATTTGGCTAAATATGACGCTGTGGTTGGTGCTGTGGATTTAGATGTCATCGAATTGGTGACAGACATCCTTCGCGATCCACCAATTGAAAATAAATACGAATATTTAAAACAAAATTTAATAAAACGCCTGACTCTATCCAGCGAAAAGCAGTTGTTGACGCTAATAAATGATCTTCAATTAGGAGACACAAAGCCAACACAATTACTACTAAAAATGAAAGAACTTGCACCTCGTCTTGATGAAGAATATTTAACGTCTATGTGGAAAAATAAATTACCTCAACATGTACGTGAACTATTAACAGTAACTGATAAATGTGATCTGGAAACTTTAGCAAGAGTAGCGGACAACATAATGGAACAAAGTCAACGAGACAACTACGTCATGGCTACCAGCATGAAATCTAAAATGTCTGAAGATTCTACAGATATAACAATTAAGAAGTTTGAACATTTGTTCATGTCTTTCTCCAGTGACATCAGAACTAGACTAGATTCAATTGAAAAACAATTACATCTACGATCTTATTCACGTGAGCGTTCTAGAACTCCAGCAACACAAAAACTTTGTTTTTATCACAAGAAATTTGGCGATAAAGCATACAAATGTGTCACTCCTTGCACATTTTCTTCAAACAAAAATTCGGAAAACTAAAAAAACTGTCAGTCATGGAGACAGTGGGTGACAGGCCGCCGCAAATGTCTCAAAAAGAATTCAGACTACATGTGTACGACAAAACAAGCAGACTAAAATACTTAATTGATTCCGGATCAATAGTATCTGTTTTGCCACTCAAGTGTTGTCCGGGTAACAAATTTTTCAAATCTTTAAATCTAAATTTATTTGCAGCAAATGGTTCGTCTATCTCAACATATGGAAATAAAATCATGCAACTTGATCTAGGTTTACGTCGAACTTTCAAATGGGTGTTTTTAATTGCAGATGTAACTTTACCAATAATTGGCGCCGATTTTTTATCCTACCACGGGTTGGTACTAGATCTTAAAAACCAAAGACTATTGGACTCAAAGACAACTGTTTCGTCACATGGTACACTAATTCATGCTGAAATTTTTAGCATTTCTACAGTTTCAGATCAGATAGATTTTAATGGCATCCTTAAAAAATTCTATGAGATAACTCAACCAAATCTAGATTCAAAACTTATAAACAAGCGCACTCTTTCTCATTACATAGTAACAACAGGTCAACCGACTGCTGAAAGACCGCGAAAACTTTCTGGTGAAAAATTAAAAGCAGCTAAAAGCGAGATAAACTTTTTATTGGATCAAGGCATCCTACGGCCATCAAAAAGTCAATGGGCCAGTCCAATTCATTTAGTAAAGAAGAAATCAGGGGGATGGAGAACATGTGGTGATTTTAGAAGGCTAAACGCTCAAACAGTTCCAGATCAATATCCACCACCGCTAATACAAAGTTTATTTGAAAAACTATACAACAAGACAATATTTTCAATTTTGGATTTGGAACGTGCTTATCACCAAATACCAATGAATCATGATGACATAGAAAAAACCGCTATCACAACTCCTTTTGGTTTGTATGAGTATTTATATATGCCTTTCGGTTTGAAGAATGCCACTCAAACTTGTCAACGATTCATAGACTCAATTTTTCGAGACCTAAACTTCGTTTTCTGTTACATAGATGATATCATCATTATGTCCGAATCATCCAATGAACATCAAAAACATTTAAAAATTGTCTTACAAAGATTAAAAGAAAACCAACTCAGGTTGAACGTTGCTAAATGCAAATTAGGTCAAAGTCAAGTAGAATTTTTAGGCTACCAAATTAGCAAAGATGGTTACAAACCTCCACAAGAGAGAATAAATGCTATCATTAATTATTCAAAGCCTACCAATGTATCAGAACTTCGCCGATTTATGGGAATGATTAATTACTATCGCTGTTGCATTGCTAAGTTCGCAGAAAAACAAGCTCCTCTAACTGAATATTTAAAAAATTCGGTTAAGAACGACAAAACGATTATTAATTGGACATCCAAAGCAGAAAAAGCATTTGAAGAATGCAAAAGCAGTATAGCTAACGCAACGTTAGCTGTTTTCATCTCACCAGATGCTTCTTTATCATTAACATCAGACGCCTCAAATATTGCAATTGGTGCATCTTTAGAACAAATGGAAGATAATAAATGGAAACCAATAGGTTTTTTTTCGAGAAAAATGTCGATAGCTGAACAAAATTATAGCACTTACGATAGAGAACTGTTAGCGATCTATTCTGCAATCAAACATTTTCAGCATATTCTGGAAGGTCGAGTATTTGTCATCAAAACAGATCATAAACCATTGGTTTTTGCCTTCAAACAAAAATCTGAGAAAGCTTCACCTAGACAACTACGGCATTTAGACTTCATTTCTCAATTTTCAACAGAAATCATTCACATTAATGGGAACGATAACGTTGTAGCAGATGCATTATCAAGAATATCTTCTATTGGCATGCCAACATTGCTAAGCGCAACAAGAATAAGCCAAGAACAAGAAAACGATGAAGAACTGACGAGAATCCTAAAACAAGAAACTTCACTAAAGTTACAAAAGGTACTTATAGAAAATGATATTAATATTTATTGCGACACATCTACTGGTTTGGTGCGACCATATATTCCGAAGTCTCTTCGACGGGAAGCTTTTAATGTCATACATGGTCTTGCGCATCCAAGCGGTAGAACAACTAGTAAGTTATTAAAAGAAAAATTTGCATGGCCGAACATTCGTTCTGACGCAATTCGTTGGTGCAGAGAGTGTATTCCATGTCAGCGTGCTAAAATTCAGAGGCACAACAAATTAACTCCAAGAAAAATAAATGTACCAGATAACAGGTTCAATCACATACATTTAGACTTAATTCATCTCCCCGAAGTAAAGGGATATAAATATTGCTTAACGATCATAGATCGATTCTCAAGGTTTCCGATGGCTATTCCTCTTAAAGACATCGCTGCGACCACAGTCGTTGATGCGTTTTTTAATAACTGGATTTGCATGTTTGGAACACCTCTATCTATCACTACAGATCAAGGCTCTCAATTCGAAAGTGCCTTATTCAACGCTTTTTAAACACTGTCAGTGCAAAAAGAATCAGAAGCACACCATACCATCCTGCATCAAACGGCATGGTTGAAAGGTGGCACAGAACTTTAAAAACAGCTTTAATGTGTCATCCGAATATTCCGTGGACAGATATTTTACCATCGGTATTATTGGGTCTACGCACTGTGTTCAAAGAAGATTTAAAAGCATCTCCAGCAGAAATGCTTTTCGGCACACCGCTCAGAATTCCAGGTGAATTTTTTATAAATCAAGATTTAGCCGCAGATCCAGAAAAATTTATTGAAAAATATCGGCAATATATAAGGACAATCCGTCCAACTCCAACAGCTCACCACGCAAAAAATAAATTATTTCTTTTAAAAAATATTTACGATTGCTCCCACGTTTTTCTACGAGTGGACGAAGTAAAGCCACCATTAACTCCACCATACTCAGGTCCTCACTTAGTTAAAAAAAGAATTGATGACAGAAACTTCGTTATTCTGGTTGACGGGCAAGAAAAAACAATATCGGTCGATAGACTTAAACCAGCCTTTATAGCAAAAACAGATAGTCTGAATGATCAACCAGTGACCGAAGAAGACATTCTTCAACCATACAAACAAGGTGGCATGGATAAACCCCCAAATACATACTCGATGAAGAAGGTACTTTTTTCAAGCCATGGAAAAATATCTCCTGCGGGGGGGAGTGATTGTGGCAGCACAAAAAGCGTGCCAAGCGCCAAATGCGGTGAAAACTACAAAAAGTAGTTTTTTGGTAAAAAGTGTGTAGAGTTAATAATAAGAATTATAACAATAAAGAAGAGACAAGAGAGTCTAGCTAAAGTGTGCACAAGAATAACAACGTGTTTTTATTTAACTGATAGTGTATAGTAAATTAATGTGGTCTGTGCAACCACAAATCCATATGACGTTTAAGAAGTCAACCTTTAAAAGACTTTGTGTAAAATTTTATGATATTTCGATTAGTCAAATTAAAAGTACCAGCCATTTAAGTGAAGCTACTTTTATTATTTTCAAAACAATGGATTCAAAACAATTTCGTGTGTTAATTTATCATTGCTTCTTGATGAAAAAAAATACTGTACAAGCTTAGCAATGGCTTCAAAAGTGTTATCCGGACTCTGCTCCATCGAAAAATCTCATTTGTCATTGGTTTGCTGAATTTAAACGTTGTCGTATAGACTCCGATGATGGTGAACGTTTTGGTCGTCCAATTGAGGTGGTTATTCCAGAAAACATCAAAAAAGTCCAGAAATTGATTATATCTGATCGTAAATTAAAATTGCGTGAGATAGCTGAGACCTTAAAGATATCAGAAGGCAGTGTGTTTACAATTATACATGAACATTTGACCATGAGAAAACTCTTTTCAAAGTGGGTGCCACGTTTACTCAGTCGGTCAAAAACAACAACGTGTTGATTATTCAGAGCAGGGTTGGGCATATTTACACGTAATAAATCAGATTTTTTGCGTCGATATGTGACAATGAATGAATCATGGGTCCATCACTTCACTCCGGAATTAAAACGATCATTATGTGAGTGAACTGCAGTCGGTGAACCACGTCCGAAGCGTCCAAAGACACAACAATCATCTGGGAAGGTTATGGCTTCAGTATTTTGGGATGCACATGGTATAATCTTCATTGACTATTTCGAAAAGGGAAAAATAATCAATAGTAACTACTACACGGCATTACTGGATCGTTTGAAAGCAGAAGTTGTGAAAAAACGACCGCATATGGCGAAGAAAAAAATTTTGTTTCGCCAAGACAATGCACCATGTCACAAGTCAATAAAAACAATGGCAAAATTGCACGAATTACACTTCGTATTGCTTCCTCATCCACTGTATAGTCCAGTTCTAGCCCCCAGCGACTGCTGGTTATTCGCTGATCTCAGAAAAATGCTCGTCGGTAAGAAAGTCATCTCAAATGAAGAATTAATTGCTGCAACTGAAGCATATTTTGAGGTAAATGACAAATCCTTTTACAAGCACGGCATCGAGAAGTTAGAGAAACGTTGGAATGATTGTATTGTTATAGAAGGAGATTATATTGATGAGTAAAATCGATTTTTGGCAGAATAAATTCGTTTTTCTTAGTTAGTCACCCGCCTTATTGAGTGATGTGTTATTTACATTAACATAAAAATTATTTATTGGTTATAATTCTAGTTTTTTATGTAGTAGAGTTAAACATAAAAAAGTTTTCTCATTTATTTAAGACTGTTTGAATAAATATTAAACTGGGCACCACTATTATTTTGCTAAAACTTCAAGCATGACTCTTGTCTCTTCTTTGAGAGGTATATAATGTGCATCTTTTCATTATTATTTGGTTATGGTTTATATTATAATCTAAGCACTAGTTCGTTCAGAAGAGTTTTATGTTCATTACTTCCCAATATTAAACCAATATTTTTTGGTTTCTCTTGTATTAAAAAGTATATGGTTTTTTCTCCAGACTTATTAGTAAATAGTAGCGACGATATATTTTAGACTTGTTTAATAATTTAAATTCACAAATAATGTTTCTGCAAACAACCATAAAATGCATGATATATCCACAGACATACTTACACAATGGTATAACTATCAACATCATCATCGTAACCATACAATTCATTTAGAAACAAAGATTGTTTTACAACACCCAAACATTCTTCTTTTTTTTCATTTCGTTTTCCAGTTTTTGAGATCTTCGTTTTCCAGTTTTTGCGATCTTTGTTTTCCAGTTTTTGAGATATTTGATGAACTGATCATTATGATCATTATTTTAATTCTAACTAGAGATTCAGAAAATCAATATCGATATATCAATATAATTGAAATATCGATTAACAAATAATAATAAATCGATTAAGGCAAATAATAATAAATCGAGTAATAATAAGTTCACATCAATTTAGCATTAAATACCTGTTAACAACTAATATTAAACAAAGTAAAACTTAATATCTATTAAGTAACGCAAAGAAAGTCCCAGGTATGGGCTACCTTTACTTTAGCTGTTCAGATATATTTTTCATACATGTAAAATCTATCTAAGAATATTGCATGTGCATACAAAGTTTCTGTAAGACTTATTCGGCGGGAATCCGTACCATAAAAAGTTTGCCTGTTACAAGACACCATGTATACCATATATGCATGTATTGAATATTAGACTATTGTTCTTTTATTTGATCCTCCTCCTTTCAAAGAAACATAGTAGAATTTTAAAATCACATAACATCCATTTTACGATATTAAATCAATTACTTTTCATAATATAATGAATGAACAGTTTGAACAATTTCCTATATCCATCCAAAGGGCTCATATTGTGCTTATGCATTTGCCGAAGTCGAATCTTTTAGAAATACTAATAAATTTATATATGCAAATTTTTTTCCGCCCTTTCATTTCCTGCCGTCAACCAAAACGTGTCGGACAGGAAGAAAGGATTTCCAGAGAATACAGAAAATAAATTAAATCAAATGCTGAATAAAAAATTTTCCTTAAGTAATTCTGTTACTAATGCTACTTCACATGCTCATCCAAACTGTCAGTACAAAGTGAAACGTTCTCAGAAAAAAAATAATTTTCCTGCAAAAGCTTTCAGACCACACATTGCCTGGTATTAATGGGGTAATGGTACGAAATTTGCATTTTCTTCAAGAATCAAATTATAAAATACATTCATTAAAAACTTTTACAAGTGAGTTATTATTGAACTGATGTCTCGAATCTCAACAGCTGATAACAATACTTCCGCTTTAAGCGGAATCGTATTATGAGATTCTCGTGTAAAACTTGAGCGATTCCTTTAAATTTTATTAGGTGACGATAAAAACGTGTTTGCGATTAAATATGTGGAGCAATAATTGAATTAATTTAATATTTTTTGCAAACTTAAAGTTTTTAAAGCTGAATTATTTCAGTGTTTTAGCTACTCGACTCAGGAACACACTCCCGTTTTTCTGAGCTCGTTTGCAATTACGCATAGACCGGCATTCCGGCATTGTGCAGATATACATCAAACGATTATTTGAGTCCCTAAGATTGTTTTGTCCTTTACGGGGGGCGGGTCGAGATTTACATACATATGTTAAGCTGAGCTCTTTCCTTTTTATGTCCTTACGGCTATAACGACTGCAAAGTGTTGCGTTCACTCTGAGTTTATGTGCATTTCGGCATTTTTGTATTTTTAAATGAGTTTACAAGGGGACCAACCCATTTCTAATCGAATTCAAGTGAATTAAGATTGTGGAAAAATACGAGCAAAATAAGAAACAAAGTGAATTTTTGCCCTTAAGCAGTTTATAAAACACTTTTATTGTATTTGTTTTTCGATAACACACTTTTCTAAATTAAGTACCCAACAAAAAACATAAAACACTTTGCGTATTTATCTGAAGTTTTATAGAAGATAGGGGATGTACTTAAAAAGTATTATTGAGACCCCTAATAAATTCAATTGTACTACTCCTTAAAGAAGAATATCCTTCCTAAACTAAATTTTGAACTTTTAAGTAATTCGGCAATAATTTTGATATTAAAAATAGTACAAATTAATTTATAAATCAAGTTATAATAGTACTTTTAGAATATATGAGAAATTCTGAGAGAACTATTTGATCAATTTCAAGCAAAAATAATACGAGATTGATGAAAATACTTTTTGATTTTCGTGGTATTTGAAGGAACGTAAGAGTAGGCAAGTGGAAACTGATCAAGTGATAACACAGGCTGTAGGCTTCACTTAGAAAACCGTAAATACATGACACTATTTTATTTGCATTAAACATTACATTACATCAGGGCTGTCCAAAGCACGGCGGGACTTATGCGGCCCGCAGGTAATATATGTGCGGCCCGCGACATATTTCTACTCCACATAATTTGACAAATTTTTCTTTGTTATATTTTGATAAGATTACATTATTTTATTTTTATGGTGTCCCAAATAAAAAAATTAAAATGTTTTAAGTTATTTATTACACTACACTTTAATTCACTGACCTAATTCACAAGGACTTTAGTACTTATTTCTTTTTACAACTGATTAAAATAATTCATATCCAGTGCCATAAGTCATCACGTTAATAATAATATCAATGTATATTTTTTGTATGACAATAACTAATATTAATAATGCTCATTTTGACAAAAGTGTAAAAGATAAATTAATGAACAATTAATAAAATCAAAATTATTTAATCAATAAACAAAATTATGAACGAATGTATTTATTTCTGCGGACCTCCAACCTCTTTAGAGATTTGAATTAGTTCGCGGTCTTGTCTGGTCTGGACAACACTGTAATATATTATTCTACCTGTAAATCTATTTCATGTTATTATACTATTTTTGTTATTATTTTTTTTTAATATAAAAACGTATTACCAATTATATATGATGATATCAGATTATTTATAATTTTAGATATTTTTTTTATAACTTTTTTTCATGAGAACAATCTCCAGCGCTACAAAAAAATTATAATTGTATTATAATTTTCCTATCAGGTCGCGAGCAATCGCACCTAACAACAGTCGTTCATGGGTTCATTCTAGCCAGGTAATATATTAAAGTGTTGTGATCAAAAACATATAAATCAGAAGAGGGAAAATTAGGGAAAAGGCTGGAGTATAAAAAGAAAATTCGAAATATTATTGTTTTCTGCTTTAATATCCAAAATGATTATTCGGTTTAAAAATTTAAATAAAGATAATTGTTTTGTCTGCTGAACAATTAATTTAAG